CACTGAAGGGAGTGCTTGGGAAGCCTGATGGGAGCAGGGAGAAAGGGCACAAAGTATTTGGGGAATGGGGTCAAAGCCGGGCTGAGCAGTGGGGCTATGCCATGAAAACTAGTATTTTCTGCACTACCTCTGCTGAAAGCATGTGGAGCGAAATACGCTCCAAGAAACCACGGTATTGTTAAACATAGCTCAGGACTGAGCTGCAACTTGAACTCTGACAAATGACGGCCTGCTTTGGTTTGTGGCTGAAGCTGTCTAGTCTGAGAAAGGAAGTAAAACTGTCCCCCAGCATCTGTCCACCGGCAAGCGTACACAGTCCCCACGGAGGTGGTGGAGCACAGGGACGGGACCATGGCCCCACAGCTGCTGGCAGGGACATGCACCGTCCCCTCCTGTCTGCTGAGGGCAGTGGGAAGGCTGGTGCTGACTTTTGAAAAGAAATTCCTTTGCTGCAGCACAATCAAAAAGCATGAGGCAGCTGGCTAGGAGACATCGTGCTGCTCTGCTTAATCCCAGAGCTCTGAGGGGGCTCTTGCTGGGGCGGACTGGCCCGCTCTGGAGTGCTGTGCCAAAAGCACAGAAGACATTGTTTGGGGATGAAGGCAGCGGTGGCACTCTCTTGAGAAAACACAGGAACAATCAATCAACCCTATGCTTGTAAGAGTGGTGGCAAATAGCCACGCAGCAGGCGGTAGCCCCAATTCTAAGCTTCCCAAAGCATCCCTTGGCCTTGCAAGAGGTCACGGCGTGCAAGCAGTCCCCGCCAGTTCCCCCGTGGCAGAGACGGCACCGCTGTGACTGAGAGGTACACGGCAATGCCACCACACATTTGGCTTTTGTAAGTGAAACCCGCGCCCCATCCTCACTCCATGCCCCACATCACGGCTGGCCCATTGCTGGCTGGCCTCTTTCTCCTGGGGACAGGAGGGAAGTGCCCAGTGGATGGCATCCGAGCAGCTCAGTAGGCAGCCAGCACAAAAGCCCCAGGAGCTCGTCTGTCTGATGAAATCATCTCACAGTGTGAAGAACCTCACAGCCGAAATTGAAAAGTTATTTATATCTCCTCTAAAGGGGAAAAACAGCTCTCTGTGGAGGCTGTTTGTCCTTTGGGGCAGGAATCTCACTTTTGCCAGCTTTCAAGTCTCTGTGTGCTGGCTGGGAGCAGTGAGATGCTCTGGCAGGCAGGACGGATGGAGCAGTGCTGATGCCGCCCACCCACAGCCTCCCTCTGCTGGCACAGGTACAACGAAGGGCAGAGGTTGGGCAGCTTGAGCTGTTCCTCTCCACAGGATGTGTTTTCCTGGCGTTCACAGCACGCTGCTAAAAGCAGCTCTTTCTCTGATGCAGTCAGTTGGTGATGCAGAGGATGCTTCTCCAGCCTAATCCCTTGAGGCACTGAACTGCCTTGAGAGGAGCCAGAGCCGAGCTGTCCCCTCCCCAGCAGCCCCAGGGACAGCAGTCTTCATTGCCCAAAGGGACAGTGAAGCTTGTACATGTCCCCAGGGCACTTCCAAGGGACATCACAGCCCTCAAGGTCCTTTCCCCTCCTGGGTGTCAGCATATCCTCTGTAAGGATGCTGGGCAGGCACTGCTGGGCTCTGCAGCTCACCAAGGGGCTTCTCCATGGGAATGCTCACCCTGCTTGCTCTGGCTGGGACATGAGATCAACTTAAAATCACCTGGGGAATGGTTTTACCACTATAGTTGTTCTGTACTGCCCTTTCACTTATTGAGGGCGGACTATTCCCAAGCATTCCCCACATGGCCTACTCCTGCTCCCACTGTGGTCTGCAAAAGGCATGGCACCAACTTGGGCCAGCACTCAATGCTTTGCAGCATCCCACCCCAACAGGGCATTTGAAAGGCTTCTCTGAATGTTAAACCAGCTATTCTGCTTGAAAAATAAAGTATTCTCAAAGCAACTGAGAACTGAAGAAGCTGCCCAGGGCCAGTCTTGCTCCCTGCCAGCAGAACTGCTCTCGCGATCCCCAGAGAATCATTTGGAAATTTGACTTGGTGTAGATGTGACTCAGACTGAGCTGGTACTGCACAGGTCAATTTTGCAAGTTCTGGGAAACTGGGAATCTGGGATATACTGCAGGAAACCCCTGTGGGTGGTGTGCAGAGATTTCTTATCCCACTTGGATGTTGCCTGCTTGCTCAGACCCTGTACTAAGCAGGACTGGTCACTTCTAATGAGTGGATGGGGGCCCTGCTTCAGGACTGTGGCTCCCATGTGCCAGAATAATAAAGAATAGCATTCAGTAGCAACAAGGCATCTGTTCAGGAAAGCAGAGGCCATCGCATCACTGTCAGGCGTCAGAGCTCAGGGGAGCAGCTGATGAGTGGCCAGGCTCCCCGCGCCGGCAGGAGGAGTTTCCACTGTTGGGAAGCAGGCACGGCGACCCTGGCAGGAGTGTGGTACGTGCTCCAGGCCGTGCTCAGGCCCGTGTCAGCACATCAGACACACCCTGTGGCAGCCCAGCTTCCAGCAGGCGCCGCAGCCTCTGCTGGGCACAGCCTGCCAGCTGTGAGAGGGCTGGTGCCTGAGCAGCCTGCTTCCCTGCCTCCCCGGGAAGGTCTCTGGCGGTCACACGATTCAGCACCTCCTACACTCAGGTAGACACAGGTATAGAGGGAATCACACCGTGTCCAAGTGTATAGACACGTGTCTGTGTCCTCGGGATTTCGATGCAGGAACGGCCACGTGGCATGGTGGTGGCACGCCATCTGAGGAGTGGGGCACTGCTCATCATAACTGGTTTGGGTTGCAAGGGACATTTCAAGGTCATCTAGTCCAAGCCCTTGGAACGAGCCTGTGCTTGCTGCTTTCTGTGTAGCTGGTGTGCAAAGTGCTGGCAACTGTACCACTCAGATCAGGGTGGCTGTGCTGCTGGAAACAAAAACTGGAGTCGCCTGACAGAGCGGGGAAAGCCCAAAGAGCACTGGGGTTGCCTTGCTCTTGTAGAAAGAGTGGGAAGGCAAATGCAACCACAAGGCTTGCCTGTGACACGGGTAAGACAGAGTGATGTTCGCAGAGAATTTACATAGTGATCAGTTTATGTACCACCTCTTTGTCTGATACCATCACCATTTCCATTTATAGACAGATGGAAAACAGATTTTGCCTACATTTTCATCTCTTTTGTTATCAGAAAAACTTGGAGGAAGTAAGTAGGAGACATTCTTGCAAAATACATTATTACAACAAAGGATAAGCCTCAGTTCCCTCAGAAGATGACCTGATCTTACCTAAATACAGCTGTGTAGAAGCCAACCACTGAGTCACCAGAGAGGCCTGAGAATGCTGGGGTAGATTATCTGACCCAAAATAGACATTTGAATCCTCTGCCCCTTATATCTGGCTGGTGGAGCACTTCTTCTCATCCTAACAGGAGACATCAGAATGAGGTCAAGTGAGCTACTTCTTGCTATAGAGGACAAAAAGGCACCAGGGGAGGCTCATCCAGCTGGGGAGAACTGCTAGGTGGACACACAGGGTTGGGAGAGCCACCACCCACAAGTGATGGTCTCCATAAACAAGTCTCAGACTTCAGGGAGACCAGACTGGTTGGAGAGCAGCGACTGTGGTGTTAGTGAAGCATCATCTCTTCTGAACCAGGTAACGGTGGTGGCAGTGTGAGCCTTTGCTGAACCAGCAATGTGGAAGAGGTCTGTAACTCCAGGCCACAGGGGTTACCCCTCTCCTCCTGAGGCATTGCCATCCCTTTTGGGCAGACCCCATGGGGCAGAGGGGTGCTGGGTCACCACCAATGATAGGCATCTACTATGGTGTGAGGTTAGGAGGACTGTATTTTCTGAATTACATTTTCTAACCAGTGAGAACATTCATTGACTAATCAACATGCAATTAGTATGTTTATTACTAATCTTTCACATCTAGAATTCCTGTAGAAGATAAGAAAACAAAAAATGATGTCTGTTACTTGCTCAGTGGAATGGTTGGGTGCAGAGGAGAGCAGCTGTGCACAAGTGCCTCTGCCCCACTGGGCAGCAACACAGCTCACCAGCCCTGGTGTGGTGCAGAGGCAGGGGCCTGTCTGTACCTGCTTTAGTGAACAGCTCTGCAAACCCCCTTCTCACATAGCGAGGAGTCTCTGTGCCTCCCAAAGGACTCACAAAATACAGCTTCATCCACCCTGCATGTGTTAATCAGACAGGCTTAAGAGCTTGAGCACTGACAGGGAAGCAATATTTAGAAAGGTTGCACTGGCCTGTTTGCCTACCTCGATCTGCTTCTCCATCAAACTGCTCCTCAGCATGGACTTGTAGGGCCATATTGTCAGTGACAGAGGCAGCAAATTGAACTTGCTAATAGAGGGAGTAGTTAAACTTGTGTCCTTGTGAGGCCGTGGCCAGGGTGATTAGCAGCTTGCACAAAGAGCCCGGTGCTGCTGCCCTTGCTCTGCTCACCGGCCAGCTGCCGAGCTGCGGAGCGCCGGGTTCATGCACCAGGCAAAGAAGAGGGAGCAAATGGATTTCATCCTTTTAGACCGTTTTATTAAACAAAGCCAAGCAAAACAAAACCAACCCATTGCCAATGCGTCAGCTCCTCATTTACACCAGACCCCTTTCCATAGCTGTGGGAGAACAAAAAGGTTGAGGAGTAAATGAGATCAGTGTCGGGAGCCTTATGCACATGAATATTTATCAAGGAAGACGAGACAGGGGCCCGTTTGCCCCTCGGGAGGTCAGTCCCCAACAAGTGGGAGGGGAAGGGTGGCTGAAGAGGCTGGTCCATGCCTTTTGCATGTGCAGGATGCCAGTGAAAATCTGTGCCTGTGTGTGAGCGTAGCTGTGAGAGCCGTCGGTCAGGGACGGTGCTGAGAGGCTCCTGGGGTTTGGGGCAGAAGCCAAGTACAACGCAGTTATGAAGCCAGCAGACAACATCCCTTCCAGTCATGCAATCAGCTTGCAAGCTGCAGTTTGGGGAAAAAACTCTGAAGAATTAACTGGAAGTTTTTACCATCCCTTGGCTGTGTTGAGTGTGCACAGTAAATCTTTTTCCTGAAGGAAAATGCAAGGTTAAATCAAACTACAAAGCCCATCAAGCATGAGATTTACAGCAATCTAAAAGGGTTACGGGTTCATTTCTTAAACAGTTGAATTATGGCTGCTTCTGGGTATTGATCTATTAAACACAGTGACCCCCTCAGTGCTGAGGGGAACTAGGGGATGAGCAGCAGCGGAGAGATCGCGCTAGTTATCGTCTTTATGTGTATTTCAAAGTCACTCCCGAAGAAGAAGATGAGATAGTAGTTGAGTATGCCAGCCAGGGACATGAGGAACAGGAACAAAATGATGCGCTTTCCAAACAAGTAACCGGGAGTGCTGAGGAGACAAAGAAAGGGGGAAAGCAATTCGTTAGTGTACCTCACCTCACACCACACCAGAAGTCCTCGGGCTTTGGACTCTGCTGTTGAGAACAGCTGGAAGACCTCAGGGGCTGAGACAGAGGAGGCAAATTTCTGCTCTGTCTTGCATTGCAATGCAGCTATGAACCCTTAAATAACCATTTTCAGGATGTATTTGGGTCTGGATTTGGCCTTGTGTGCTCTGTGTAGGCTGCTGCTTACAAAAGTGGCTATTCAGAGGGACTTGTATGTCTTACCAGCCATCCCAGGCTGCGGGGGAACCTTGCTCCACCTGCGTGGAAGGAGCTTTATTAACGTCAAAGGACGAGCTGGTGCAAATAGTGGCAGAAAGACACAGACGTGCGGGTTTGCAGAGGCTGTGAGCAGGAGCTGCTGCAG